GTGTTGGGTAGCTGGTATACTGCCCGGATTGACTTTGATAAGGGTACATATCATATTAGCTTTATGCTGTAGCCATTGGTCAGTCATCGTGGTATCGACGTCTAAGTTGTAGGCTAGAAGTGTTATTTACAGTTGAGACTTGTGGCTGTGAGCTTATTCCAGCAGAGAGAACCTAGACTTTGATAAGAGTGTTATTTTGAGTTGATAGTCCCCACAGCTGATGGCTTACATCACGCGCCTCACACACGAGATCCAGGAATTCCGTGATATATGCAGCCCGAACAATGGACTGTCTGTTGTGTACCTAGTTAAACAGTAAATCTCTGGGCCATAAGTCGTAGAATGATTCGATGCTCATCAATCATTGTTTGTTCTCATGAGGCTTTGCCATCCCGTAGCAGCTTTGAGAAAGTTACGTACATTTTAGCCAAAGTTGAAAGAGTAACAACACGGTGACTATTCGTAGTGTAAACACATTTCCCATTACTTCAACTTCAACTGAGTTTCTTTCCTTTTCACAACCACCAGCCTCTTGTCTTTTTACACCCGCTATCTAATCTGCAATTTTCTTAGCACACTCAGCCTCTATTCAGCACTATTCCATCCAACACTATGGAGTCTGAGGAGTTCCACGACTGGCTTTTATGTCTAATGGAGGCAATCGCCGGTCCTTCACAAGAGGTCGAGTGGTCCCTGGAGGATATCTATATGAGCCACGGCGATAGGCTTAGATATGTCGCCATGTCTAATGATGAATATACAGCCTTTTTACAGTGGCGAGAATCACAGAAAGGGCAGACAGTCTTTTCCCCCTACTCATTCCTTATAAACCCTCTGATTGCGACTACTATTTGCTGTTTGATCTTCAACATCGCACTCCCATAGACTCAGGAGTTCACTTATGGTCTTTGTAACTAAGGTCAGGGGCTTGATGGACCGGATGGAGAACAACCCGAAACACAAGAGCCTCGAGGACTTTGACATAAAGACACCACCATTCTTGGAGATACGGGGGCGTACCACGATTCTAGCTAAATCATTTCTGTCTTTCGCTTTATTGTATTTGCATGAGATGAATGGCGATATCACAACAGCCTCACTTGCGCTGCGTCTTCGAAGCACGCCCTCAGATGAATAGGATATTAGGAGTCAGGTCAGCATATCACTGTTCACGAAAGTAGATCAAGCAATACTCTAGTGTCAAGATAGCATTCATTTCATTTCTCTGCTTTAGTTTGATGTTGATAATTCTTCAACTTGGAAAATTCTTGGCAATAGTACGTGACGAGTTTAGTGAGGACTCAATTCCCTAATTCTTTCGCTCTCTGAGCTTCTAATATACTTGTTCAGAACTACATACTCATCTGCTCATAATACGACTGTAATTCTTTTAATAAAAACCATTCGCCGTTTATACTCATACTATCCATTTCCGGGGAATGCTCTGGTCCGCTGATTACTCAGGACGATCACGTGTAGATACTACCGGGGTCTAGATCAAAACAGCGACCACTTTACAAGACCCCGAACCTCCCGCATTTCACTCTTGGCGGCTAACGATCCCCCCCAAACAGGTCCACCCCTAACAATACAGAGATAACCGAAATGGATGCTCCAGCTGAAAAGGCGCAGCAGCATCAGGTTGCATGCTTTAGCTGCCGTGCATCGAGGCAGAAGTGCGATCGCCAGGATCCTTGGTAAGTCGGTCTAGCCCTGGCCATCTTCCCGCAAGACTGACACGGCGGTTTTAGTTCTCGTTGCGCTTCCCATGATCGCATTTGTAAATATCCAGCTCGTTCGAACAGGGGTCGTAAGCATGGTAGCACAAAGTAAGACCATACCTCACTCATAAGGCGTCTCTAACCGCCTCACAGCAAACCTGATAGTCTGGAGAAGCTCCTCGCTCGCATTGAAGAAAGCGGTGCTCGCGAGGAAGTCCTCACAGCTCTTTTGGGGCAAACTCTTCCCAGTCCAAATACAACAGTGTCTATAAGAGGAACCCCGTGGACACATGGACAGGGTACTGATTCAGCGCCCGAGTATGGCCACGGTACGAGTCAATCGTCGCGTTCGGTCACTCACCGACGTTCAGTCAGTTATGACGAGAGCGATGATGCCGATGGTTTGGTGTCACCGATAACGATGGTCACTGCTGCTATTTCAATGAGTTCCTCTGCGGCTTGTGACAGACTTAGATCTCAGATGCCGATGCAGCCGGGTATGCGCGAAGCCATCATGGCGCCGATAAAAGAAAGACTGGCTTTGTATTTTGGTAAGCGTGAGATTACGAATACCTCTTTTGTCTGTCGTCTAACTCGTATCAGGCCCACATAGAGCACAGCAAAAAGACTGGGAGGTTCTAGCAACTCAAGCAGTTGATTCCCCATTCAAGTTGGAGAGAGACACTTGCGATCCACTTGCTTCAAGATTGATCGATGATAACGATGCTGCACTATACTTCCAACTGTAAGTCACCACCTACTTACGGTGTCGCTGTAATGCTGACGGATAGAACAGATTCTTCCAGATTCGCCATCCTTTGATCGGCCTTCTAGACGCCACATTACATACCCGTGAATATGTCTATGGATGCTCATTTACTTTATTCTCCGTCATCTGCGCTCTGGGGTGTGCTGTCTCAGCACGTCCTCGCGACAGAGCCATATATCCCGTTCTATCATCATTGGCCAGCGGTAATATTAGATGGTGTATCGCTGCGTCTGTGAAATCCCTCTCAACTATCCAAGCCATTATCGCCTACCAATACTGGGCACCTCTCTCAGCAAGGCAGGCCGATGATCCATATTGGCTAACACTAAGCCATGTAAGTCCTTTCATATAAGTCCACATGTGTAGGTACGTGCTGACTTTACAGCAGGCTGTTCAGTTAGCCAAAGAGATGGGCATTAACAGATCAGACGTTGTGAAAGAATATGTCAACGCAGAATTTCCCAATGCTTCGCCAGAGTTGGCCGATAGGTATGCCAGAAACTACGAGAGAGCGTGGCTGTACACTTTTATCGTAGATAAAGGCTTTGGAGCCCTCAATGGTCGCTTACAGTGTATGAGCTGGAGGGCAGTGCCTCGTACTGCAGTAGATTGGTGGAAATCACCTATGGCTGAACCAACAGATCGTATCATCAGTGGAGTAATCGAGATTAGGGGATTATTGGTAAGTTCGATACTGTCGCGGTCGACATCTAGCTGACGATCCTTGTCACAGCTCCAAGCAATGGAGAAACGTAGACATATAGTCTCCACACCAGCTTCCATCCTAGAGTGGCACAAAGAAGCTTACGAGCGCCTAACTCACGTCCGCAACGAACGCTGTCAAGCAGATGACCTGCCATCTTCGAAATATCTCCCTATCCTCGCTTTCTATATGGATCACAGCATTCTAGTCTTTAACGCTCAGGCTTTGCGAGACTTGACTGCCTCTGAGGATAGTGCGGCAGCATCTGCACTTTTGATCATCCAGAGAAAGAGTATTGAAGTTGCTGGTCGTATCTTTGATCACTTGGTAAAAGACAAAACAATGAACGACGTCTCAGTTGGCTTTCAGAATAACCAGTTTATTATGATCTGCCACGCCATGACTGAGATACTTCGGGTAAGTCTATGCTTTTCGTAGGCAATTGAACATCACTAACCTGTTACCCAGGCCGTAAAGAAAGGCGGCATTACAGCAGAAGAAACTGCCGCCGCTGCAGAAAAGGTTATCAGTGTCATTCCATTCTTTGACCGCGTGGTGCAACAGCTTCCGGCCTCATCATCTGTACATCTCTACTTTGATCTTGCTCGTTTCTTTGCATGCCAGATCGACTCTTTGCTTGCGCCACCTGATTCACAGGCTTCGCGAGAAACGATTGATCAAGGAATGTTTACGGATGAGTGGTTCAAATCTGTTGATTCGGGTGTGCCAGATGTTGCCACATATATAGATATGGGGTATTTGGGAATGGATCAGTCAATGATGGATGCTAATGGGTTCTTCGATTTTAATGACTTTAATGGTATGGCATAAAGGTTTGACGGCATTGGTGTCGGGGGGTCAGGCGTTGGTAATTTGTGGTCAATTATACGATATCGAACTTGAGACACTCTAAATCTAAACTCATCGGTTTCAGATCTTGCCCATCTTCCCTGGGTGTTGAGGTAGTATACCTTGCTCGCTCAGCACCCAAACTTCGGATCTTCCACCGTCTTACTCCAAGTACGCAAAAGGATGCAGCAATGTACATAAATCCAGTAAACAGCTGCGCGCCCAAGTAGCTCCCTGTTCCTGTATAGATCTCCAGAGCAATAGGAGCACTAAACGTCGACGGAGCAGCCATAGCGACCCAAAGACAACTCAACGCCGAGACTAGGTTCTCGAGACCCATAACCTCGGCAATGACGGGTGATATGTTGACCCAAAAGACACCAGCTGACAAACCTCCAACCAGTGCAAATGCCAGGAGCACGCCAAATGACTTTGCATTGATCCATATCGCAAAGGTCAAGATTCCGGTGATGAATGACATTATAAAGGTGAGGTTAATTCTGCCATACCGATCGCTAAGCCAGCCGATACAAGGACGGCCAATGGCTTGGCCGAACATGAAGAATGCTGGTATCATCGATGCTTGTGACGACGAGAGTCCAATAACATTCGCGTAGTTGGCGAGTGTGAAAATGAGGACGAAGTAACCGAGCATGCTGAAGGCGCCGTAGCTCAAGACAAGAAGATACTCCGGTCTGTGTAGAAGTGTCATGTCGAAAGCGAGTCTCGTTGCTTGGGAGTTGTATCGAGTTCGTATAAGAAGTGTACAGGTGATGCTCGCCACCGCTGATACGATTGCCAGAATCCGATTAGCCCATTCCAAGCCCATGTTGCGAATAATGGCCCCAGTAGCGAGTGAGTATGTCAACCCTCCAAGACCAGCTCCAGCGATGGCAATGCCGTTAGCCAAGGCTCTTCGTCTCGTGAACCACTGCGATATAATTCCATAAGACGGTAAAAACAGCAATCCCATTCCAATTCCAAAGAGTGCTCCCTGAGAGAGAAACAATTGCCATATTTCAGTTGACAAGCTTGCACAAACAAGACTGACAGACTGTACTATAGCCCCAATAAGCATCGTCGGCCTTGTGCCAAGTTCTCTAGCCATGAATGTCGCGAATGGGGATATCAGCATCATGACGCCTACGCTGAGGGATCCAGCCATGGCATATATAAGTGGCGTTGTGCCAGGGAATGTATTCTCTTTGACGAAGTGGGCTAGGAAGACAGAATATGCTGCGTTAATACCCCATGAGTGGCCGTTGATGATAGCCACTGAGGTTGTGACGATCCAACCATATCCTCCATCTGGGGCTTTTTCGGAAGTCGGCGAGATCTCTTGCGTCTCCAAATCCGGGTGTGTTGAGGTATCTTTGGCGTTCATGTTGAAGCTCTATAGGTTGGACCAGAACCCAACTTCTACTATACTTTGAGACTATATATCATCTCATACACTGAGATATGAGACATTCCGTAGATATGACCATAAGATCGGACCATCGGCAGACTTTGGGAGCAGGCTATTGTAAGCTCATGTCTTTTCTTAGCGTTGCCAAGTCCGTAGTTCCATCTCCGCCATAGCTAACCGAAGACTCGGGACCTTGACATAAAAGGCCCGATATAGACTAGCATATCCTCGGAATGATGAATGGTGAGTTCATCGAGGGTTCTTATTGCTTTGTTGGCTACTTTCATACTGGGTATACATGTACTCATGTATCGATCAGATGTTGGTATATATCTCGAGACCGTTCTTGGTGTCTGACTCCACTGGAGCTTCTTCTTCGCTCCCATAAGAAGTTCCAAGACTACATTACATATCATATTCTCCCGTCTAATTTTGTCAAAGGCTGCGGTAAAAGGTTCGTACAGGCCTTTAAAGCGCCAGGTTCTCGAACCAGTCAATGACGGTACATCGTCCAGGCCCCGAAGTTATTGGCCAAACAACTGACTTGTATGTGTCTCCGACATGATTCAATAGCTTCCCCGACATAAGTATTCTTCCAGTCCGCTGTAGGATTGTTTCAAGCTGGACTACTGATGCTAGTTCATTTCGAGCTTCATTGCTTAGCCGTGAACGACCCAGCATTGCTATTGAAGGTCTTGACCTCCAATGTTCAGAGCCAAGCTTGGGGGTAGAGCGAGATTTCTGTTTCTATCGACATGAAAGCCATTTTTATCATTGCCTTATTCAATACCTATGCGTACGTTCTTTTCTCTGTCCAACTGGGCTTCGTGCCTGATATGTAAGTAATTCGTTGCCTCTGGTCGAGTTCATCATTCTATCAGCATTGTCCTCAATGATGCCACTTTCAACTGAAGCCTTAATTCCAGGATTCCGTGTTCGCAACTTCTTATGCAATTCCGATAAAAAATGGTCGAAAATAGAAGACGAAGAAGTTCGGAAGAACAGACGCTCCTCCATGATCCATCCCGTTTCAATCTTGATCTAGACCCGACGATGAGAATGGTCCAACTCGACTCTTTGACTGGACATGGTCGAAAATTCCTTCGTCTAACCAAAGCTTACATACACTATCGCTGGCAGAGGAGCAAAGCTCATCAGTCATTCCGTGGGGCAGGCTTGCGTGCTTATAAACCATCGGGTTCGAGGCATTCGCTGTTCGCTTCCTCATTGCAGCATGCGACGGCTGTTGTTATTCCAAGACGACCGAGTGCGAAAATAATAACATCAAGTATTACAGGCAATTCGCTGCGAAATCGCTTTGTAACTTGTTCGGCAAAGAGGGCAATTAGTCTACAGGTGCAAGGTCCGTTGCGAAATTGTTGGCGAAGCGTCCCAAAAGTTTGTCTCATTATTGGCACCGCGCATTATTGCCCACGCTCGGAGGCGGAAATCGTGTGCATGGCCATGGACTTGGAGCCTTGACACTATTTTAAGCGCTGGGGTGCGCCATGAATGGGCTCTCGCTCCAATGGGCTGGCTGTGCAATACACCATTCATTGTCTGCCAACATGATGCAGGCTGACTGTAAGGCTCTCTGGGCTGACAGCAGCTGAAACCCGTAGCAGCTTCCAAGTTGGGCACCTTGATCTAGGGCAAGTTCAGGCTTTGATCTTTCTTTTCTGTACTTTCTTCGTTCTTGCCGTTTTCATCTCAATGGCGGACCCTCTTTCCATCTCAGCGAGCATCGCTGGGTTAGTTGCTCTTGCCGATCTCGTCTTCCGATCAGGCACGAAATACGTCAAGAGCTACAGAGGCGCCCCAACAGAAGTTGGGAACCTCATCCGCGAAGTTAGGAGTCTCTCTGTCATCTTACACAACCTTTCCCTTGTCGCTTTTGACCTAGAAGAGACTGGACCACCCGAAACAACTGCTGCTGTTCACGAGCCGCCAACTGTTCTTCAACCGCATTATCTCCACGACTGCCACCAGCTGCTGAGGCGCTTGGAGACAGGTCTTTCGCGTACAGAAGCTTCCTTAGATTTGAGTTCTGGGCGCTCAAGAATACAAGCTCGACTAAAATGGCCTTATACTTCAACCGAGTCCAGGGAAATGATCCAGGATATACAGCGCTACAACCAGATCATCCACACAGCTCTTGCCGCTGACTCTCTAGCCAAGCTCAAACATTGCTTATCCCGACAAGTCGAAATGAAGGATGGCCTTGAAAGAATCAGTCGCACCGCGGAAAAGATCTTGGACATACAAGTCAAGATTGCCCTCGATGCCAAAAGGAATAAAGTCCTCAAAGATTTTGGCCAAGTTAATCCTCGGGGTGAATACGAGACCAACGACAGCCTACGGCATGGCCTCACCGGCCTTTGGCTCACGCAAGGTCCAGAGTTTGACTACTGGTACTCAACTCCGGCTTCAAGGCTCTGGTGTAGTGGTATACCTGGTGCTGGGAAGTCAGTCCTTTCTGCAGCCGTGATCAAGGAGTGTTTGCAAAGAAACGCTCATGATGCACAAAAAGCAACCGCGTACTTCTTCTGCACCTATAGACATGAGCGCTCCCAGCATCTGGTCAATATTCTTTCTTCTCTTTGTATCCAACTCGCCCTGCAGAGCGAAAACGCTTTCCAAATCTTAGAAGAGTATCACGGCCAACTATTCTCAAGTCACCACCTCTCTACAAAGCCCACCGCCGAAACGCTCACACAGGTACTACATCGTATCTGTGCTTGCTTTACCCGCGTCTACATTATCGTCGATGGTCTCGATGAGTGTGACAATCGAGTCGAAGCAAATGTAAAGTGCTTGGCCGAGCTTGCGCTGCCACAAGGGTACGATATTATCAACATGGCGTTATTTAGCCGGGACGAGAGCATTATACGCACACGTCTGGAGAAAGACTTTCCTCATGTCGAAATTGAGGCCCATACCGAGGACTTGCAACTCTATGTCGCCTCGGAACTTAACGAGAGGATTGCTTCAAAACGGCTGAGGCTTCGTGACCCAAATCTGAAAGACCTCATCATGACGAGATTGGTTGGGGAAGCTAAAGGGATGGAAGTTCCACTTGTTCCAATACCACTCACTTCTAGCTGACGGGTCTCGAGGTTTCGCTGGGTAGCCTGCCAACTGGACTACATGTGTGAACTCCCAACAGACAGAGCTCGACGTGACGCCTTGAGCAAGCTTCCCCCTTCGCTCTATGCAACTTACGATCGTATCTTACTAAGAATTGATGGTTGTAACGATGCGGTAAAGCGACTGGTCAAGGGAGCGCTATTAGTGCTCGCGACGTCTTTCTCCTCACTCTGCTTCAAAGAAATCTGCGAGGCCATTTCCTTGGAAGACGGCGCAACAACTCTCGAAGATGATGAGATTGTAGAGGAAGATGAATTGCTGCGATGGTACAGTAGCCTTGTTCGAGTCAACAAATCCGACTCTTTCGCCTATGGCAAAAGAATTCAGTTTGCACACTTTACAGTCCAAGAATATCTTCAGTCCTTGAAGACTCTCAATTCGGATCATCAATACCCAAAGCTCAGAGAATACGCTGTTTCGCGCGTAGATGGTATCGACTTTTCTTTCCTGTGTTTACGCTTCCTCACTATGGAGGACATGGAGCGATTTCCGCCAACCCCTGACATAACACGTAGTATCGGGGACATGCTTGCTCGACGCAGACGCAGAACCTTTTACTGCAAATCAGTACTATCTTGGACACCATATAAGACACCACCGTCAAATATGGAAGATGAGACAAATAGGCTCCTGCGGAAACTCTTCCAACCATCCAAAACGCCCTCCTTCTGTCTATGGGCAATTGACTTCATATTCAGTCATCATCCCTCGTCTTCAACAGACGTCTCTTCTGAGTCAAGAAGAGTTCTATCGAAAGTCATTAGTGCGGTGCTCAGGCCTGAATTCACGCCTCTTCACATGGCAGCTGCATTCAGTATGTACGACATATGTCAAGAGTTACTAGAGAGTGGCTCTGATGTGCTGGTATGCAGCAGATTCGGTACTCCATTACACTGTGCCCTTGGCGGTCGAGGTTTCTTTTATAGTTTTCTGAACTTAAGAAACAATGATACCATATCCGGTGGTCCCATTACGGATCGAATAGTTTTCTATAGTGCGCACTTGGCTCGGCTTCAAACAGTCCAGTTGTTGCTAAACGTTTCAGTCTCACCCCTGACATTCTCATTACCATCCGAAACTATGATATCTCTCACTTTATTATGCCCTGATCTATTCACCAACAACGTCGAAATCATCATCAAGCTTCTTAGGGCTGGTGTGTCAATCACGGCTCAAGATGTGCAGCTCTTCAGAAGTCTTTACGATAGGTGCCTGCAGATGCCTGCTTTCACATCCGAGACCTCTCAGATATGGTCTCTCTTTCCACAATTACTCGAGGCCCTTGGCGAAAACAATACACCAGACTGTCCTAGATTTGTCCTTCGCCAGAAAACCACAGACTTTATCTTAAGAGCAAGCGAAAGAAGGCAACCCCAGTCCCCAGATAGGCAGTCGCTTGATGGCGCCAGTAATGAAGAGGCCCTCAAATACTTCCACTCACTGATCAGGTTGAACAATGGAGCTGGGATGAGGGCTTTCCTTGCCACTCCGAGAGCTGAATTGGCAAAGCCGGCGGACATTGATCCCGGGAATCTTGGATGGAATGCTCTTCATCTTGCATTACGTGAGAGATCTTATCGAGTTTTGGATCCATTGTTAGTCTTTGGACTAGATCCGTGTTCGCAAATCCACTAGGTTCCAAGCCAGTTCATCTGTGCTGTCTGGATAACACCGGTGAGGCGCTTCAAATGTTACTGCGCTTTGGTGGATCAATTCTTGACACCGACAAATTGGGCAGGACCGTGTGGCATGTAGCCGCAGAGCTGAACTCCGTGACGCTTCTGGAGAAATTACTTGACTTGGGCGGCGTACATGCTGCGCTAAAATTCACGTCCAAGCACCATGAGACCCCTATTTGTGCGGCAGCGACTCAATTACACCTCGAGGCTGTTTCTCTTCTCCTGCCTTTTTGCAAAACGGAAGAACACTGGACAAGCAGTAAAGCGCTGTCCGCCATTCTATATGAACCCAGATTCTCTGGGATCGTTCAATCCCTACATGGATTCGGCATCTTGTCACAAACGCCATGTGGTACGCATGCTCTATCATGTGCATTCTATCGTGCTATTCCTCTTGATGATGTACAGACTTGTGAGAAGCTTTACGGTCTCGGCTGCCCTTTGGTGTGAGCTACCCTTTCCTGTGCTTGTGACGCCATTGGCTCTGGCCATACTCCAAGGTTCTTACAAGGTGATGATGTGGCTATTTAGGAAGGGCGTGCCTGTTTCAATCATCATGCCCCATCCTACGAAGGATACCCATTTGACGGTTCTCGACCTTTTCTTGGAGCGGCCCGATCTCAACAACCTTCTTTCGACATTGTTAGATGCATATCTTGCAGAGAGGGGATCTTTTGCACATGAACAACGCAGTATTCTTAACATACCTCTCGTTTCAGGTAACACAGATGGACTCATATTAATGCTGAACAAACTCCAGGGCAAGGCCTTGGGATGTGGTGAAGTCACGTAAGCAACTCGTACCATTCACCGAAGCAGCAAGCGGCTGACTGAGATACAGAAGGTTCTTCCTGGATATTTCAGGTGACTTCATCTTCAAAAGCACCACAAGGCTTGAATCGCTCAGTGCCATCATTGATCAGAAGGATATCCGTCATCAGAACCGGACTCCTCTTTTTGTGGCAGCCACGCTGAACAATGTGAAAGCGGTAAATGCTTTACTTATTCATGGGGCCGATGTCAACGCAACCGACGACAGAAATCGCACGCCTCTTTTTGTTGCAGTTGAGCAAGGTGTGACAGAAGTTGTAGAGTTGCTCATTGGTCACGGTGCTCATGTCGACGTGATGAGCACTTCATCTCACGGACTCCTTGATGTGGCTTTCGTGCAGAAATCGTGGAGAATGGTCGACACTCTTCTTGAGGCCGGCCTATCAAGAAAACGAACAAATGTGGACGGAAGAAATCTCCTCGGCCTTGTGACTTTATGGACTTGCCAACCAGGCGCCAAACCCAACATTGGACTCTTCAAGCGGCTCCTAGATCTTGGCGTCGATCTATATGTATGTGACAAGTTTGACTCTTCCGCATTCCATTATCTTTTTACAAGACCTTACCGGGGTTACTTATTGTGCATGTTGGACATGAGACTCAATCTACAAGTGGAAAAGCTCAGCACCTGGCCTGACCATTTCTTCTGCAACGGAGTAGATAACTTGGTTGATATAACCTATAGCCTTCGCTATGTCAAACCTTCAATCAAGATTGAAGGTGTCCGCCAGCTATGTGGCCTGGAAACCCCTGGTGCTCATAGTTTGTTGTGTCGAGCAGCCTGCTGGGGTTCGGTCACGGCGATCCTGAACCTTATCAAGCTCGGTATTAGTGATCTTGAACACCATTGTCATGAACACGGATCGCCCTTAAATGCTGCCGTTCAAAACCACAGATGGGAGGCAGTCAAGTTTCTTATGCTTCATGGCGCTACGGTTCCTGAAGATCTTTTGAGGCCCAAGAATTCTACTCCGAGTACTGCAAACCCAGATTTTATTATTCGAGAGTGGCTATTTGTTGGCAGGCACACGGAGCGAAAGCGACTTTCACTTGGCCTTTGGGACGATGAGCCGGAGATTAAGAGCTGGTCTGGAGCATGGGTTGTTCGGGTGCCATTACAATGGCGGGATAGGAAGTGTTCTGTAGAGAGCATCTTGGAATACGCCAAACGAAGACATTGGCTTGAGATTGAGTACAAGTCAAGCGATATTCGAGATGTTCAATTAGTGCGGCCAAAAGAAAGATGTAGGAGCATGTCGAGTGTTGAACGCTAGGGCTATTGCTGAGGATGTGACGGTCGCTCAGCGCTGCAAGACTGATGGCCAACAAAGGATGCAGCCACGCATACCTGGACAGAAAATCACCTACAGCTTCGACCGACCTCTGAATGAGGCCGGTAGAGTTCAAAAAATTGCGTGCAGCCGATCATTTTCGTCCTCCCGGAGAATCCACTCGGTGGCCGGCACCGGTCCGGAGGACGGAGCTGGCCTTTCGGGCCGTTAGATCCCACCTATTTCGGTTGTGTGATGTGCCTGCTCTAAGGGGGCCTTGGGGAGCAAGACCTAAGTTTAGGGTGATAAAATGAACTTTATAAAAGGTATCCTAAACTTATCCTAAATGTATACTAAGCTACCTAAATCTTTTTATCAGTTTAGCTTAAGGTCCTAAGTTTTGTTTCCTCCCCTAGGGGTAAGAAAATCAGGACCAAGCGACGAAAATATTGCGGTACATTAGCCTGAACTTAGAGAGCAGACTTCCACTTCTCAGTGATTCGCAACACTGAATGAACATGTCGATGGGAGGCGCAAGTAGATCAATCATGGCAGGATATGTTTCATTCATATATTCGTATATACACTCTATCTCATACAAGCTATCGTCACTCGACCCATTGGGGAGTGACGTTTGGGTATCTTTTATGCCGCCGGTAAGTTCAGGCGGCGCAGCAGGGCTCTATCATAACCTCTTCTCAGCCGCGACGTTTGTCGAACTGACTCGCTGCTTCTGCGCATCATGGATATCGCAGCGTCATTCTTCATTCGCATTCACCATTTCCAGGTGCACGCTCAGACATGGACTTCAGCAGCGTTCTTCTTCTTGTTCTTCTTGATACCGACAAGGCCAATGATCTCCTCCCAGAAACCAGTAGGAGGGTCAACGATCAGGGCGCGTTCCTCGTAAGCATCAATGACAGGTCGCTCCCAGACAAGATCACACTCCTTAGCACTGACGACCTTGGTGCGCTTGATGAGCTTCCAGCCGAGATACATGAAAGGAGCGATGATTTGCATAGTGTAGTTGGAGAAGAAGTTCTTGGCATCGAATGGAGCCAAGGATGTGTATCCATAGGTGTAGCAAACGACTGTGTGAAGGATAAGAGCGATCCAGGCACAGTAAGGCTGGAAGTAGCCGAAGTAGGGCATCTTCTTGCGATCAACGCCCTGCGCCTTGCAAGCACGGTAGTAGAAGAGGAAGGTAATATTCATGGTGATATAATCCACGATACCGCCACCAGTGATGAGGGCGAGAAGGATAGTCAGTGCCTCAGCGGATGAGCTGTCGAGTTGAAGGAAGGCCAACAGAGGGAAGAGCATGGTAACGGCAAAACACCAGACAGGGATACCGCTCTTAGTGGTCTTGCGGAGGAAGGCAGGGGCACGTCCATCGAGGGCGAGACTATATAAGGAACGGGTCGCACAGTATGTGTATGTGTTGCCGGCAGAGAAGATAGTCGTGAAAAGAAGGGCATTGACGAGATGGGGCAGTCCTTCAATACCGAGGTTGGACATAGCGATGACCCAAGGAGAGGCAGCAGCAGTGCCACCACCGGATCCGCTGCCAAATTGAACCTCCACGAGTGTCTCATCAGTGTGGCTAAGGACGATGCCACAAGTAAGGGCAGCGCCGATGAAGAAGAGACCGAAACGGAAGTAGCAGGTCTTAAAGGCAGTCTTGACATATCGGCTGGGGTGCTTGGACTCGGCAGCGACCATAGAGATATAGTCAGGGCCGACGACGAAGAAGGCAGCGGAGGCCAATGCACCCATGAAGCCTTCCAGACGTCCAAGATCACCTTCGGTTCGGAATGTCGCGAATGCATCATGCGCATTGGACCAGTAGCGGAAGCCATAAGCGTCACCTTGGGGATTACCCCCGACCATCGTCACGAAGGTAAACATGAAGAGGATAAAGATCAGGAGGACCTTGCCGAGGGCCAACCAGAACTCAGCTTCACCAAAGACACCAACAGCAAGAATATTGCACACACTAGAAGAGGAGACGAATGTTTAGCATGCATTCACACACAGACAGGGAGAGGGAGGGAAGCAGAATTGAAGAGAGAAACCATGGAGCGCATCCGTGACGATGTCCATCAGGATGCAGCTCGGGATTTAAGCCTTACCCATATGCGATGATGACTGCAATGATGAAGCCAGCAGTTGGACCAGCGTCAGTAATATTATCACTCCAGAATGAAACAACGAGGTTCAGAGCGACGATTTCGAAGGGGATCAAGAGAGCCTCGTAGAAGAAGAAGTTCCATCCGACCATGAAGCCTAGGGCGTCATCGACCCAGTGGCCGGCAAGACGGATGAAACCACCAGAGACAGGCATGTAAGTGTTCATCTCAGCAATCGAGTTGTTGGTGAGACCGAGGACCATGGCGTAGAGAGCTGTGCAGACGAGGAGACTGCCAGGGCCACCTTTGGCCAAACCAGCACCGATACCGATGAACAAGCCAGTACCAATAGTGCCACCGATAGCGAGGAGTTGAACCTGACGATTGTTGAGACGGCGATGAAGGCCATCGGCGTTACCACCATCATTCTCGACGATGGGACTGGGGCTCTCGGCCCTCTTGGAGGCCTTTTCCGAGTCGGAGGACATGTTGGAGACGGTTCGGCCGAGTTGCTGTTAAGTTGATGAGACAGCACAAAACCACTGATCAACCTCAGAAGTGATCTGGGGTTGCGGATATGTGGAGATGGGAGATGGGGATGAAGAGAGAGAAGGAAGTCAAGTACATAGAGAGCGAGAGCAAAGGGATTTATGAGAATGGAACTCATAGAGACGATCCCAGACGAACAACCCACAAAGTCGAGACTCAGACATGGTGGTGGTGGAGAGTTCAGTGGGTCGTGTCGTTGGTGGTTGCAATGATCAATCCTTGGATGTTTGATGAACGAACCCTTGCTGAGGAGTGAGGGTGAGGGCGAGAATGGCAGACATCGCGTCATTATGGAGTCTCGTTAAGTAAATGGAGAAGCGAGAGGACGAGTCCGAGTGAAGATGGTGGATATCGACGATATTAGAGGAGGCGGAGGCAACTGTTTTGTTCTCCACTGAACCTCTCTCATCAGGAAGAGTGTCCTAGTAGTACCCATCAAACAACCTCATAAAGCTCAAGGATGACAAGAGTCCGTCCGTTCAACGAGAGCGCGTCTTGCAAATTAAGCTTCTCCTTCTCCATGATGTTCATTTCGCAAGTCGCCGAGATCGTCGCATCGCTTCAGATACGTACCGCTCTCGTTGCTGTTGTTGTTGTAACATGACTTATAAAAACTTGTTGACGGATGGCGATCCGAAGGAAGTTTACGAGATGAAATGCCAAGACAGATCATGACGTCACAGTCTCAAACTTTTCAGTTCAGCTCTTTAACATGTCACGTGTACTTTGTTTCACGTGACGTACTTCATGATTCGTTTGCGGCAAAGGCGCAAGAAAGCAGTGAACCAGTGGATCCTCGGCTGAGAAACTCTGCAGAGTTTTCGCGATACCCTGTCGCCTGTAAAAACAAGCAAAGACAAGCAGTACATGATTCGTTACAGTGTCTGACAGTGGATGGTGTGGGTACAGGAAGAAATATGGTGCGGTTTACACGGACATTCCGCTGTCAAAGACCAGAACCGGTAGCTGGACCCGACCACCTCGCTATAGTGATGGCCCCCGATCGTGTGCGAAGAGAGTCCAATGGACAATCAGAGGGAACCCGGTTCAAGGGGACTGACTCATTTACATAATGGACTGTAACGTTGGAGGCTGAGCGGGATGTGAGGTGTGATATGACGAGCGTTGTTGATGGAAGCAAGTTTAGTAGATCCTCAAGGAACAGAAAGTTTACATCCCAATACGCCGACATGACAAATCCAGGATCTTTTCACACAAACAATCCCTTGTTGTCCATGACATGAAGTCCAAACCCGCCCATCCCAAGCTTGAGGCTCAACGGCAGAGCGACCGCCAAATTTCTCGTCATTCTTTTGCCTCATTCTCTCACTCGGAGAAAAAAAAAGAGAACCGCCACCGCCGAATCATCGCTTACTCGAGACCCAGAATAGGCAATGCGTCTAGGATTGCGCTTATTGGCGGCCAAAGCTGTAAGCGCCAAGAAAACAGTAATGAACTGAGTTTTTGCGTTATTTACGATACGTACAGAGTAGATACGACATCGTATTGAACGTTGAACGATGCTCCACTGATGGATGTTGGGATCCAGGGATGATGCAAGGGACAGGACATGGCGGCTGGGCTAACGTTTTTTCAAGAGTGTGACGGCATTGACGATATTCCCCGAGACTGGAGGGTATTTGGCTTGATGATATGCTTATATTTACTTTAAGGGAATGTACGCGTATACATCGTGCTATTGTAGATAAGATATTTTCGGTTAGAGATGCGATTAGATAGATCATCAGATTGTCAAAACGAAACGTGAAACCGCTTGGATATCTCGTTCGCGTATCTCAGCCCATTCAGAGACAAAAAAGTCAGGGCCCTTGCCGGCTTCAGCTGGTCCCGACTTGCCCAAGAAGGATAGCTTCGCAAGATCAATCTCGATAAATCGAATCTTCGTTCCAGTAACACTTGGTACAAATTAGTTTCTATCGACGCGATGCTTGTCATGGCGCTAAACACAAACATCAAAGATCGCCATGCAGGAAGCGTTTCCTTCTAACCTCTAGGAATTACAGATCATTTCCATAAGAAGGGGCATCTGTTAATTCATCAGGGTCTTATGCAATGTCAGCTTATGTTTGATCTCTTGTGCGAAACGTAAAGCATGCCAACGATTCTTAGCCGCTTAGCATTTTGCCTTTACAACTTGCTATCGACAGGTACTCTATAAACACGAGAACTTCTCTGAAGCGTGTCAATGGCACCAACAACGACAACGATAGTCATCATTCATAAACTCCATACAAAAAATGATAGAAAATAAGCGCTGACACTCTTTTTTAACTAGAATTACCGCCAAGTTTACACTGCGGTGGCTTCATCAGCTCTAATCAACATCCTCACATGAAAGAAAGTTTGCCTACCCTGGAGCTCCCGCTTGGCCCGTGCATTAGCCTTGCAGCTTTGGATAAGCACCTTGATCCCATTCTAGAAACATTCAGGCAACCTTCTTTCAACATCACTCCCCAAAATGTCAGAATACTGGAAATCCACGCCTAAATACTGGTGCAAGCACTGCGAGACCTATGTTCGCGACACAAAACTCGAGCGCCAAAACCATGAATCTACCGCCAAACATCAAGGCGCACTGAAGCGCTTCCTCCGCGATCTGCACCGTAACCACGAGCGAGAAGAACGCGAAAAAGACCGCGCCAAGCGGGAAGTCGAACGTCTCAATGGAGTTGTTGGAGCTTCATCTGCAGCGGCAGGTCCGTCGTCAAGACCCGCGCCGCGCACACAACAGAGCGCACCGACAGAAGCGTCTTTGAAGAAACAGAGAGAACAGCTTGCTGCGATGGGTGTCGCGATGCCGAGTGACTTCCGACCTGAGATGGCTATGCCTGGCGAGTGGACGGTCACGAATACGAGAATTATCGAGGCGAAGACAGAAGAAGACGAAGAAGCAAAGGTGGAGGCTAGAGCCAATGGTGTACGGAAGCGCGAAGCAACGGAGGACGAGAAGGAAGAAGAAAACGCTGTGCGCGGACTGTTCAAGAAGCCTAGACGATGGGGACGAGACTCAAAAGCTATGCCACAACAAGAAGACCAGGAACTCGATGCGCTACTCAGCGGATCGACGTTTACACCTAGGACCGTGAAGGAGGAAACAGAGGATACGACGAATGTCAAGAAGGAGGAGGATGCGACGCCGGATACAGCTGTGAAGGCAGAAGATGCGACAGAAGTCAAGACGGAGGATAACACAGACGTCAAGACAGAAGCACCTGCTGAACCTCTGATAAAGCCAGAGCCAGAGGAGGCTGAGTCGGGAGTACAGACTGTGGTGTTCAAGAAGAGAAAGCCCAAGGGCATTCGACAAAAGTGACGAGATTGTCGTTGTGTACTATACAACTACTTACATTGCTGGAGCATATAATGATACCAACTATACGAATAATGAATGACATTCACCATATCCCACTTCTACCGATATCCTCAAAAGCTAAAACGATATGCCGTGGATCAGTTTCGTAATTCGGCATTTGGCCCAATGTCCATATCCGTATATCCCGTCGGAGTTAAAAGTCTAAGAGCGAAAAATGAAGCCCAATGGGGATAGCTTCAAAACCATCCACAACAAGACTCCTCTCGCAGACCCAGATATCCCACGTTTCACCAATTAGCACGGAAGAAGTTGCTTAGAAAGCAAGCACATCCACGGAATCGTCCACGGAATCGTCCACGGAACGACCATTGTTTGTGGGGTAACATCGGCATCTCGGCCTCGATTAATTGCGTCACACGGGTCCGCTTCAAAGAGGATATAAACTCGACCAAGCTACCTCCGAGAAATTTCCCCTCCATTCTACAATTCCGCAGAAGAAATACACAGTCAAATCACTATCGCAATGGCTTCTAACCAACCTGCCAAGTGCTGCACCGAGGGTGTTCGCCATGAGTAAGTGTACCCCGACAAAGGCATTCGCGCAATTTTATATACTGGTATCTAATGCTTCGTTTGTAGAGGCGAGCCCACCGGCAAGATGATCAAGCTCGATAGCGGTCTCGACGCCTACATCGCGACAGCCCCCGCGGATAAGGCGCACAAGGGAACCGGAATTGTGTACATTGCCGATATCTTCGGAATTTGGACCAATAGCAAGTTGATGGCTGATCAATTCGCCGCCAATGGCTACACCACCATCATTCCCGACATTTTCAACGGCGATGTTATGCCTCTGCCTATGCCTGAGGGTCTTGATATCATGAGCTGGATCACAAAGGGTGCCAAGGGCGATAACCCTCATACTCCGGCTCAGATCGACCCTATTATCGCCGAGTCTATCAAGACGCTCAAGGCGCAGGGTGCTACCAAGATTGGAGCTGTCGGATACTGCTTCGGCGCCAAGGTATGTTTTTTAACCTCGACTTACAAGCACATCGCTAACAGTCTCAGTACGTTATTCGCAACTACAAGGCGGGCATCGACGTCGGTTACGTCGCTCACCCCTCGTTCGTCGAGGATGAAGAGCTCAAGGCCATCACTGGTCCCCTCTCTATTGCCGCTGCTCAGACCGACAGCATCTTCCCCACCGAAAAGCGTCATCAATCGGAAGAGATTCTGATTGGCACTGGCTTGCCCTTCCAGATCAACCTGTTCTCTCACGTCGAGCATGGATTTGCTGTGCGCGCTGATCTGAGCGACAAGAGGAAGAAGTTTGCCAAGGAGCAGGCGTTCTTCCAGGCCGTGCAGTGGTTTGATGAGTACCTTCTTTAGATGAGTTAATGATATAAAGATACTTAATAGAGGTTTAAGAATGTAAATGGTGTATGGCATGCGCAGTGAAACCTTGTCTTATGCTGAAGCGAAACCTTGTGACGGCAGAGGATCTAGAACCTGCACACTATGAACAAGAGAGGGGATTGAGTATTACATAGAATCAAGACACATCGTGAGATTTGGGTAGACCAGTCCTACAGTAACTATTTGTTATACCCGTCTTGGCTTTCACCAAGTCAGATTCGCGATTCTCTTCCCGCCACGGTATCCAGATCCACGGATCCATTCTCATCTCAAGCCACTGACACAACCCCTGCATGAACCCCCACTGCCCCAAAGTTTCAGTGTCTTCAGAGCACGCTCTCCCGCTCAGGGGGACCTTCGGTGCCGACTCCACTGTGGCGCACCCACTGTCAACTGAATGGAACCGGTTCACTCAAGTCCAAGTCCAGGCTCAGTTCAGCTGCGTCTTGTCTCATGGTGATTCAATTGCTGACAAGCCCATTTCCCGCTGCAACGTCTCTTCTTTTTCACCTCACGCTACAAACTTCCAACTGATTGACCTTCATTACAATAACTCGAGAGGGAAAAACATGCTTCGAGAGTCTCAGCCTTGGTGATGGCCGCCTCCGTCGATTTCATCAATTCTCATCACCTCCCACCGCTTCTATCTCCGTCCTCGACTCCTCCTCCGTCATGCGCCGACACGACAAACCACAAACTCCCCACGATTCCCTCCGACGAAGACCACTCTTCCGAAGAAGGTTCCCATAGAAGTAGTAGCGTGCGTCGCGTCGAGTCCAACTCGTCTATCTCCGAACCAGCGGTCGAGGATGACGAGGTTCAGGAACAAGAGCCCGCGGAGGAGACTCTAGACAAAGAGAAGGACCAGGATGACAGTACCGCTGTACCCTCTGGCAGGGCCAGTCGCAGCAGTACGATAAGCAATACCACGAACCCTAATGTTCGACGTCTCTCCGCGACTGAGATGCAGCGCCTCACAAACTCTCCTGAGTCGTTACCTGTTGCCCCCGCGCCAGAACGGAGGTCAATTGACCAAGAATCTGCATCACATCTTCTCGACCAGCGCGAGGCTATACGACAGCCTACGATGCGCCTCGATGATGCACCTCCCCCGGTGCAGAAAAACGGTGCCTCTGTAGAAGCTCGTCCTGGCTTGACTTCTGCTCTGCGGACTGCGAGAGATATTCAGATGGATATTCACCGACGCCCATCGCCTGGAGCGAGAACTCTATCTACGCCTCCTACGAGTCGTGTGACAGCTGGCGATTCGAGTGGGACATCTTCGCCTAGACGATACTCTTCCTTCAACTCGACTGGACGCCCTACATCTCTACATCTCAACCTCGATGGTGCAGGTGGAACATCTCCTATTCTCGGCGCCCGGTCAACACCTGCGACAGCTATACCACTTCAAACAGACTCAGCCGGCCTTCGACCACCGTCACCAATTCCACCGATCATTCCTCTCCCACCTATGTCGTTACCTACACATCTACAGCTCGAACTGGCAGCTCAAAGACCTAGTCCGTTGTATATCCACCAGTCCCACGCTTACGATATTCCCTACGAATCCAATGCTGTCAAATTCGAGCGTCTCAAGAATGTTATCCTCCTACCGCCCCATCTCGAAATGACGCTTAACTTTGGAGCTCTAGCATGTCTCGATGCGTGGCTTTGGAACTTCACCATTCTTCCCATGCGCTTTATCCAAGCTGTCAGCATGCTAGTCCGTTGGTGGGGCTATGTCATCCTTAAAGAAGTTCGATGGCTACTCGGCTTCGTGTGGTATGGCCTTGGACGTCTTTGGCGAAGAGGTAGGACCTCACGAGCCGACGAGACCTCTGATGAAGGAAGATCACGCAGTGAGAGTCGTCCTCGAGGTCGTTCGAACGATGAAAACGGGAGTCATGATTTTATGGCAAACGGGAACGGAAACGGACACTTCAAGCCTTTGCAGTCTCGATCTCAACCCAAATCTGGCGCGTTTCGTCATAAGAGGACGAAATCCATGCCTTCAAATCTCTCGGCCTTTCACAAAGCTGATCTTCTCCAAGGCGCTGTCATAATATGCAGTTCCATGGCCCTGATGACTCTTGACGCAAGCCGCATGTACCACTTCATTCGAGCTCAGTCCGCTATCAAACTCTACGTCATATACAACATTCTCGAAGTCGGTGATCGACTCCTTTCAGCTCTGGGACAGGATATTCTGGAGTGCCTCTTCAGCACGGAAACGCTCTCACGTAATGCGTCTGGCCGTTCCAAAGTCCTTCTCCCGCTGGGCATGTTTATGCTTGCTCTTGTATACTGCTGTCTTCACTCGATTGCATTGTACTATCAGGTCATCACCCTCAACGTTGCCGTCAATTCATACTCCAACGCCCTGTTGACTCTTCTTCTCTCCAACCAATTCGTTGAGATCAAGTCAACTGTCTTCAAGCGTTTCGAGAAAGACAACCTCTTCCAGCTCACCTGTGCCGACATCGTCGAGCGTTTCCAGCTTTGGATCATGCTCTTCATCATCGGGATGCGTAACGTCGTCGAGGTTGGCGGCCTCAGTGTCCCGGGTGCCGGCTCAGAGTCATATGACGAGACATCTGTACCTCATCACAGCCCCTCTATCCTACCACACAGCTTTACTGTACTACCCTCGTGGCTCATGTCAGGCGAAGTTCTGTCCCCCTTCTTCATTGTCATTGGTAGTGAGATGCTTGTCGATACCATTAAACATGCCTATGTGACGAAGTTTAACAACATCAAACCAGCTTTCTACAGCCGTATTCTTGATATCCTGTGTAAAGATTACTACACCAACGTAAGTTGCTCTCATCGCTCATCGTGTCACAACTGACGCCCCTAGGCTTTCATGACTCCCTCTCTGACCAAGCGTCTCGGTCTTGCTGTCATACCCCTATCTTGTCTCTTTATTCGCGCCTCCGTTCAAACCTACCACATGCTTCTATCGACTCATCTACCTATGCCTATGCCTATGCCCATCCCCCAATCAACGCAGACATCCCTCTCCGAAGAATCAGCCACACCCTCATCACCCGCTATGATAGCTGCTCTCAACCGCTTTGACTCTCTTATCCGCGACTCCCTCGGCCGCGCAACATACGGCTACCCATACGGCTCACCCCTCAACTCTCGGCCCTGGTACTCCTGGACATCCGACGACTTCATCGCCGCCATTACCATGGTCGTCGTCTTCTTCATCGCCTTCCTCGTCCTACTCATTCTCAAACTCCTCCTGGGCATGATTCTGCTGAAGTACTCTCGCAACAGATACACGAAGATGAAGCGTGCAGAACAGCAGGGCCGTGCTCCTGAATCTTTTGATACACCCGGCGGACGAAGAGTCGGTGGTTTTGGCCAGGTTGAGGTTGGAGAGGAGAGACAGCGATGGATTCATGCTGATAGGAACGAGGGACTGAAAGGTGGTAAAGGACCGGGTAAGAGGGTAGAGAAGACGGAGAAGAAGAAGGATGATTTTGAGAAGGTGATGAGGTATGAGATGGTTGCCAAAAGGATTTGGTAATCCCATTGTTCTGTAGCATTTACGGCGTTTACTTTCGAATTAC